ATTAAATTTTTAACCCAAAAGTTGGGTTAGTCCATATTTGACCCAAAGTTGGGTTGAAACAACCCAACATTTTTTAGAGTGTGTGATATAGTCAGAAAAATAATTGACAGACTTCGTAGGTCATCTAGTTGCACTAGTACGATTTTCGTAAGTTGTAGCGCCCCCCTAGTGTTAGAAATTGATTAAAGTGCCCCTATTATGGATTTTTGGAAATGACCTTTCATGCAGTGTGTAACACAGCTCTAAGTGAATACAAAACATTCTGCAAAGTTTTAAATCTGAAAGTGCACCGTGTATAAAGTTATTGTCTCAAAAGAAAGAGTCGACTCTGAATCATTGAAACGAGTCGTTTTTAAAACGAATCGCAAGTCGTTTCATGTTGACGTCAACATGAAACATTAGCATATTGCCCGCCCACTTGTTGGTCTTTTCTCGTTGGTCTGAATGAAAATGCAAATTCATTCTTTGCCACTAGGTGCCGCTTTTGGAGCGGCAATAGTAGCGGTTTCCCCAGTAACGCTGTACACAAAGCAGCACTGCGCTCACAAACGCTGCTTCATCAGGCATTACAGGCAAGATGAAATGAAAATGAGACCAATCAGACCAATCACCGCAGAGTAGCGTCACGCAGAGGAGGGGCTTGGAAAAATTGATCTTTGAGCGAATTGTTTGGGAGTCCTTGAGCATGTAAGGTAAAAATAAATGCATATTATAAGACAATGAAAGTGTTTTTTTGAATATTTTAACATAGCATAGTGACCCACATAAAAAAAATGCTATAGTAATTTATAGTAAATAGCCTACTACTATAGTGTTTTTGAACCATACTGTAGTAAAGTTCTTGAATTAATTTGTTGTGGTAATTCTATAGTTGCTGTGGTAATATAACAACTCTAAAAATATAAACAAATTACTTTACCCAATACTGCACTACTACACAATTTTTCTACAACTATATTGTATATTATACTACAATACACTACAGTTTACTGTAGTAAAAAGTAAAGTATACTACAGTATTTATTACAGTTTATCAGTTCACTATAGTTAATACTACAGTACGCTGTAGCATTCATTAACAAAGTTATAATATATACAGTATAATACACTTTATTATAGTATGGTTCAAAACACTAGTATTTATTATAAATTACTATAGTATTTTTTCATGCGGGGAGTCACTGTCAAAACTCAAGGTCTGTTTTTGAAATAGCATACGTAGGCCTATATTTTTCCTCAGTCACAAACCACATTCAATAACATACTGTGTATATATATATATATTTTGCTCGACAGGATAGGCTATATCTACTAATCGTTATGTCGTTGTTGTGTTTAACATTTTTAACGTTATTTACTGTAAAACATTTTTCTCAGTTGAGTCAAAATTGTGGAACACAGTATGCTCAAAAGTCTATGTTTGCATATAGTTTTTCTTTTCTTTTATTATAATTATATTATTATTATTATTATATTTTTGATGTCTTAGTGATATTGGCTCTGATAAAATGAAAACATTCATCAATAATATTTCCATTGCAATCATTCAGCGTGTAGTCAGGTAGGTTTTGTGGGATAAATGCTATAAGAGTCAAAAATAGTTTGTTTATTTATTTATTTTGTAGTTTTTCACCATCATGCAGTCTCTTGAGATACGGTCGAATGTTGCCTTCTGTCTTGACAGCAAAAGACCTCGTGAGATATGGCTCAAGTGGAAATAGCACATCTTGAATGTGCAGCTCCCCTCAGGTTTGTTTTCCTACGCACCAGCTAGGCATATTGTTGATGGCACACAATGGAGAATATTGTTCTCAATCCCTTTGCCAAAGGCTGAATTTACCTGCTTTCCCAAAGTCTCCTTCCTGTAATACATGTAAATGTGTAGTGTGCATCTACAAGGGCGGGAAGGATGCTGGAAAAGTTGCTTTGTAAAGAAGCATCCAGATTTTAATGTGATGGAAATATGCTTTCCATTGAGGACACCAATGCAATTTAAGGAGTGCCATTTTCCTTGAAACTTCCCTGTATGTCGCAAGATATAAAATGTATATACATAGATTTATTACTATTATTATTATTACAGTGTCAGCAGCTACTCTTCTTCAGCTCGTTCCACAGGGATTGTGGTCTCCTTGGCGAAATCTTCATTCTGCACTTGGTGAACCATTGTTTTGTTTTTTTTTCTGGAGGTGTGCTTTGGATCATTGTCCTGCTGGAGGAGTTTCATGGCAAAGGCAGTCAGGTGTTGATTTAATATATGTTGTATTTGTATCTTAACAAGCTGTCCAGGGCCTTTGGAAGAAAAACAGCCATGCAACATCAAAGAAACACCATACTTCACAGTATGAGGTACTTTTCTGCATGACTGCCCTTCTGTTTACACCAAACCAACCTCTTGTATTTTTTTTTTTATAGTGTATAACAAACCTCACCAGGACCACTACTAAGTGGCTGTTCTGGAAATTGTGTTTATAACATTTATTAATAATCCTGTGAAAAATGATACAGAAGGTTAAATGGGGGATTTGTTTTATTCATGAGAAGAGAGTAGAATGAAAATAGAAGCAAATGAAGAAAAACAAAAAAACTGCCTTTTTATAAATACTTAAAAATGACTAAATCTGAAGCATTTGGGACACTAGTATCTTACAATCATGCACTTGTAATCTGCATAATTGTAACAGTACCAACAATGTCCACTAGATGACCATATAATCATTAAGAATACCTGGGGACTGAACCCAGGATATCAGAGTCCCCCTTTTATTTTGTTTATTATCTCTGTTTATTGTTTATTATCTCTGTGGCCTGAAGCCACATCCACAGCAAAGGTTAAACAAGTCAAGAAAGAAGCCTTGTGAGAAACCAGTATCACCTATCTGTGAAACCATCTTACTCTTGTGAAATATAAAAATAAACTATATCAAGTATAAAATTGACTATAAAACTCTCACTATAAAACTGCCTGAAGTGGATTTTAGAGAAAAGCCTATAAAAATTCCCTAATTACAACTTAACTGGTTCCATAAATGTTATTTTAGAATTATTTATATACTAATGTAATTGTTTTGTTATACTTCATCGTAATTTTAGTTTGGTTTTATTAATTTTGTGTACTTTTGTCATTTTTATTAGCTTTTAATATCTCTATTTAGCTTTCATTTGTTTTTATTTCAGTTTAAACAGAAACGTTGCCTTGGTAATTAACTGAAATAGGGGTTTTCATGTAATATATATGTTTAATTATATTTTAGCGTTATTTCAAGCTTCATTTACAGAAAAAAATATTTTTAATTTTAGTTGATTTTTGAATGTTTTTTTTTTAGTTTGATAAAATTTTATTTATTGAGTATTAATTCATATGTTCAGTTATTCGTTTTTAAATGATCATTTTCAGTTTTTATCTTAATTTAAGTAATTTTGTTGTGTGCTTTTGTAATTTTAATTATTTATTTAGTTTTTAGCTATAATTATTTTTTTTATTAAGTGTAGAAACTTAAACCTATATATTTGAGTTTTTAAGTTTTATTATCTAATATTTACATATAATTTTATTTATTTCAAGCTTCATTAACAGAAAATGATTTTGAAGTGTTAGTGTCAGACTTTTGTACCTGTTTTGCCCCCTTAGTCCTTCCTGTGTTTCCTTATTTGGTCAAGTTCCTGTCCTCGTTTAGTTTGATTATGTTCCATTGATGTCACCTGTGTTCCCCAATTATCCCTTGTATTTAAATTCTAGCCTGTGCCATTCTCCCTTGTCCGATATTGAATGTTTGTCTTGTGCTACATGTGTTCCTGGCAGCCTGGTGTATCCCGTCTTGGAAGGATTAAAGACTGTGTTTACTATGAAATCTCCTCATTCCTCGTTCCACGCTCCTCGTTGTTGTACAAGCGTGACAGAATATCAGACCAACAACAGTTTAAATTGCGTGTTTCCCCTCTGTTTTGTTTCTGTTTTTCGCTCAGTGTTTTTTTTTTTTCTCCTCTCGTTGTGTGCCCTAATGGATCCCCTCCTTTGCCCCAAATTCCTCCTCCTCCTGCAGGAGCAGGGGGAGCGCTCGCTCGAGGGTCATACCTGACTGTTTCTGGCGATTGCCCATCTCACCACCTACCCGGATGACGCGTTCTGCGCGTTCTATGACATCAGCCTCAACCCTGCGTGCAGAGCGCCGTCGTCCGAAGATGGCCCGCGAGCGGAATTTGTCTCATTTGTGGAGTGGTGCCACTCCAGACCCAGAGCCCAGCCCACCATCTACCCGTTGTGCGGAGCTAAAGCCAGAGCCCACCGATGACGGAGAGCCCATTCCCGCCGCGATCTACGAGCCAGCGCAATGCCGAGTGACTGAGCGGAGGATTGCCCCGGAAGTAGAGCCCAAGCCATCAGATCAGGTGCGAGAGCCGGAGACAATGCCTGCCACGAGTGAGAAAGCCGCGGACCGTGTGAGTGCGGAGAGGAGCTCCGCCCCCTGCACCGCGACTGAGGGTGAGCTGAGTATGGCGCGGTGAAGGTGCCAAAGCGAGAAGGAGAGGGCTCCAGTCCCCGAATCCAGTCCAGAGCGCCCTCCAGTGCCCGCTTCTAGAAAGTGCCCTCCAGTGCCAGCTCCTCGTAAGCGCCCTCAAGTGTCTGCTCCTCCTGAGCGCCATCCTGTTCCCGTGTTCAATCAAGAGGTCCTCGGCATGCCCCTAGCTCGTTGGCTCTCCGTCTCCACCTCGGGCTCCTCCACCACCTGCTCCGCCACCGTTGGTCGTCCCCCTGGAGTCGGCGGCCATTCCTCCTCCATCGTCTCCTCCCTGGACTCTGTCTGCCAGCCCCCTCCTGGGTGTCCATCCTCCTCCCAAGCCTCCTCCTTAGTTCCCACCCGTGCCCCCCCCCTCTGTTGTTGTTACAGTGCGAGGATGCACCTTCAGGGAGGGGGTGATATGTCAGACTTTTTTTTTTTTTTTTCAGACTATTTTGCCCCGTAGACCTTCCTGTGTTTCCTTATTTGGTCAAGTTCCTGTCCTCGTTTAGTTTGATTATGTTCCATTGATGTCACCTGTGTTCCCCAATTACAGAGAGGCAGAGAAGAGGATGTGTCAACACAGTAAAGGGAAACACATTGTGAAGCAGAGGAAGTGATGTCTGAGGTTGAAACCGTGCTCTGCTAGCTTCACACGTCTGCACGTCATCGCTGGCTTGCATTCGCATACATGCACACGCATACAGATTGACACACACAGAACCGAGCCACCGCAGACCTTTGCTGAGGATGTGCACTAGACGAAGACAGACAGAGGACATGGAGACAAAGAATATGAGGGAATGAGCAAAGAAAACCCCATTTAAAAAGGGTAAGGATTTCTTTCACATTTTATGGAATTTGTGTAGATTCATGAAAACGAGGATCGTGAAGTTTGCACATATGATTTGCACTGAAGTTATTTCCGCAAGCGCTGCTGCTGCTGGTGTTCAAGGTGGCAAGGAAAATGCAAGATGTACTGTAGTGCCTCTATCAATCTGTCTCTCATTTAGGATGGGGGAAGGGTTGCTCTCCAGGCTCTAGGGATACGTTGATAATAAATGAGAACGGAGGGAGTGGAATAAGAATAGGAAGAGCAGAGATATCTTACGTAAGCATGCACAATAAAGGGTACGACTGCATGCTCTTAAAGCTCTTGACCCTGTGAAAGTGACGGTAATGTGCGTAACTGCACAACGGTGTCTTGCACTTTGACGCATTTGTTCGGCTGTGGTGTGATGATGTCTTTTCTCATCCTCTCAGTAACACATGCGCTTGCTGGGTTCATTTGATTGGTTTTGGCCTGATGTGTGACTCTGGTGAAAGTCATTACTCATAAACAATCTATGAGAGGCTGAACCTGCTTCAGATATATCAGAGTATATTAGGGCACACTCTACAATTGCATGCTCCTAAAAAAAGGATAAAAAAGTACCATTTAGCTTTGTTTAAGAATATACTTAAAAGAATATATACTTAAGCGTGAACTGAGTGTAATGTTTTATGACACTTAATTCCATGTTAAATGCAATTAGCTCACCGTAGTTTTGACCCACTTAAGTACATCTTTATATGCAGATACATAGATCGTAGATATTCATAGATAACATTTACAGATGCAAAAACATATTTTTTGTACGTTTGGGAAGATGCTGAAGCAAACAATATGGACACGCTGACAGCATCTAAAATGTAGTAAGTATTATGTACAGATATAGCAATGTAAAATATTTATTAATCATTTATATAGTGACATTTTTACCATTTTATAGATATACAGTATTCATATAAATCTTTTAACCCTAAAAGTACTTATATAATAATATATAATTGTTTAAAAATTAAACCTGGCAGAAAAATGTACTGTCACAATAATTTAAGTTACAGTATACCATCATGTAGATAGACAGTATACAGAAAAACGTAACAGGCTGACAAGTGTGTAACTGCTATCATTTATGAATTTATGAATTATCAAAAAACTAAAAAGCAGTGCATGAGATGGTGCGTGACTTTCAAAATGAATGAATCAATAATGGTTAAAAATGACTGAAATGTTATTTATGTCAAGATTTTAAAGTGTAGTTTTGTTTTAAATTATGTGAATTCGAACAGTCATGCAAATGTAACATTTCACAGAATGTAACATTTAGAATGAGATTGAAAACACAAAATCATTGATATTAAATTCAATAGTCAATCGAATAATTCCATGAATGAAATATTCATAGATGAAATAAGAACAGGAGTGCCTGTAAGGGTTAGATGTTGTCAATATGTCAGTATTGTGGTGCTTATTGCTTTAGTGTCTGTGCAAACATACATAAATGTACGTGTGGTAGAAACACAGAAATACATGAGATTACTTTGCCATTGTATGTGTACTTACAGTACAGACTTATCTCTTCATGTATCAAAACATGAGACATACAGTATCGTTTCTGATGAAATATAAGGATTTCTCAAGCAAAAGATAATGCAAGAAAGAACAGCACTCAAAATTAGTGTGTATGTTTTAGCATTTCTGAGGTGCAAAGAGTCAAAAATCAATAAAAGTGCTGCGAGTGTCTGTGGGAAACTGAGCTTAATGCCACGAACACCAACTGCTGTGTGAGATAACACTATCAAAGGAGAGCTAAGAAATGCACACAAATTTGCACCAATGTTGAAACTCAACAAAAATGTAATGATCAGTTTGGCAAAGATGAACAAGCTTCTTTGCTCAGACATTTAACAGTGATGTAAGAAGGATGAGGAAACTTCTGAATGAATGTATGATTTGGATGAATGCATTCAGTATTTTTTCTCTTATTCCACTTATCTTCCTCTGACCTGCTCTAACATGCAAGTGAAGCTAAATATAGAGTGTAATGTTAAAATGGCACACTTAAATATTAAATGCTTCGACCCAAATGATGGGAAGCTGTGTTGATGTAGATGCGTGTCCTAATGCTCTATATACCCTAAGAGCTAGAGAGGGAGACGGATCCCATTATCACTAGATAGGCCACAAAAATATCCTACACTGGACAATATGATCTTATGAGTATTTGCATGTATTTTGCATAAAATGTGATTCTACCAAGCATGCATTTACTTAAATTTACATTAAAATGCACACTATTGACTATTGTGTGTTTCATTAGATATATTAACATTAGTTTTTACATTTGCACTGTAAACTCTTATATGACTATTTTGGTGTCTGTGACAAAGAATAAGCATATCAAGTGCTCGATTAGCTGTTTGTGTGACTCTTGCAATTGGTTTGTGATATATCTTTGAAATGTTACACTATTTGGTGATAATTACAGGAACCCAAGAGAAGTTGGGTTGTATTGCATTGTTATACTGAAAATGTTGGGAGGCTTAGCAATGAATTTACATTTTAAAGGCATTGACTAAAGAGACATTATACGCAAAATGGAAAAGAAGAAAGGAAGAAAAAAAAGTGTGAACTCTGTTCTAACTCTTCTAATCATCCCATAGCCTACATTATAGTATACTGCCATTATGCCAACCATTAGCTGCCCTTTTTTATTAAGCATACATTTTTGGCTGATGTGGCCGATGCATTTTGCAGAAGTTGCATTTTTCATTCAGATAGAGTGTGTTTAAGAGCAGCAACAACGCAGCAATGTCTGCCAGCTTATATCGCTTAACATGTCTGAAGACTCAGCTGGGATCAATGCTCTCATCTTGCAGTATGTTATATGATGGCAGACATCACAATAAATGATAAATGGTCAAGGAACCATTAGGAAAGTGAGGAAAGCAAAATCGAAGGCTATCACACACAACTGTGGGCACTCGCACACAAAGAGGACGTTTGTGCACAGATTCTGTTTAATTCTGTCTGGCCATCTGACAATTGCTTGATTGTTTGAGCTACGTTTTGGTCGGTCTGAGATCTGGTAAGAGGCCTTTCAATAGTCTCCAGACATTTAAATACTGGCTGGTTTGATTGGACGTGCTGGATGCAGTGGTATCTGCTGCTGTGACTGAGGGGAGGCACATATTTGACAGTACTGTAGTGCATCAAAACTAATTTCAAAATGCATTTATCATAGTTCTTTTTTTCTCCGTCTGATCACACGAAAGACTCCATCTGGCTGGTCTACTACTTGCGCAGTCTAACAAATTGCATGCAAACTTTGTGGCCATATGGGTGATTTAAGAATATGTACGCAAACAGAACCATGTGCTAATAGACACAACAATATTTAAAGGAGGCTTTCGCATGTGGTATTTGTATGTATATGCCGCTCACTTGCAGCCAAGGATGTGAGGGAGACATTTCAATCTCATGGTGATTCATAACTGTTTTACTTTTTGGCAAAATGATGACTAATTTGTTTTCATGCAATCTGCTTAATAGTTAGGGGTGAACTTTCATGCTTATTTTTTTTTATCTAAAAATTGCATGCTTTCTTATGAATCAAATCTAACAAATTAGTACAAAATCACTTCATGAAATAGTTGCCCTCTTTTTTTTTTCGAATTAATTACTTAACCTCTCCCCCCATTTTTCTTAAAAAAATCTCTAAGAAGTTTATTTTGTGTAATCATAGACATCATAACCATGCAAGACCATGCATGGCAATGGGTGAGACTAACGTGCAAGCCGTGATCCCATTGACTATTAATTACCTTTCACCATCCGCATTTTGTTTTCAGCAAATCACTCTGGTCAAAGGCAACATGATTTATAATATTTAATAGATTAAAACATTTTACATTTTGCCATAGCTTTCAAAAGTGCAACAGTGCTTCAATCCCACTCTCAATCACTTACTCAACTGTCGTCTCATATAAATGCAAAAAAGTCAAATTGATGGAACTCACTGACTTTAAATACATTTAAGTAACTTTTAGCATCTTCTTAATCTCAGGCCTCATTATTCTTACTCTTTTTTTTGTTCACAGACGCATTTAATGACCAATAATATCTCAATGACCAGCCCATAATTCAGTTCTGTTGAATATGAAAAATGTGTTTTCTTTCGTACATAACAAAAATATTAAATAGATATTTCAAGTCAAGTGGAGTTTAACCATATACAAGTACATAGTGAAACGAAACAACGTTTCTCCAGGACCAAGGTGCTACATAAGACAAACACAGAACTTCAAGGGACTACATTAAAATATACTTAAAGTGTACAAGTGCAAACATGAGCAGACAGCACAAGACAGTACAATGACTACTGGGACAGACAATGGGCACAGTCCTAGTGCTGCGCCAAACAGTACACCTAGAGAACCAGAACCAGAACCTAGTGACAATAGTGCAAAGAGTACAATATAAGTAGCTGAAGTAGTATAAACATACAGTGGCATGCAAAAGTTTGGGCACCCCTTGCAGAATCTGTGAAAATGTGAATAATTTTAACAAAATAAGAGAGATCATACAAAATGCATGTTATTTTTTTTTATTTAGTACTGTCCTGAGTAAGATATTTTACATAAAAGATGCTTACATTTATTCCACAAGACAAAACAATAGCTGAAATTATTAAAATGACCCCATTCAAAAGTTTGGGAACCCTTGGTTCTTAATACTGTGTGTGGTTACCTGGATGATCCACAACTGTTTTTTGTTTTGTGATGGTTGTTCATGAATCTCTTGTTTGTTCTGAACAGTTAAACTGAGCACTGTTCTTCAGAAAAATCCTCCAGCTCCTGCAGATTCTTCAGTTTTCCAGCATCTCTTGCATATTTGAACCCTTTCCAGCAGTGACTGTATGATTTTGAGATCCATTTTTCACACTGAGCACAACTGAGGAACTCAAACACAACTATTAAAAAAGGTTCAAACATTCACTGATGCTC